TGGAAAAATGACTTTTGAAAGCTTTCTTGGTGAAGTAAATAGCAGATCCTGGAGACAGATTAGTTTGGGGGCTTGTGATAGGAAGAGACCACACTGATAACAGTTTCTAATTTGGGAGATTAGCACACCTAGGACAAAGAGGAAGAGCAATTGGCTTAGGAACATAGAGGGGTAAATTCAAATATTTTGAGTTTTAAGTTTCTGATGGGATAATCAAATAGAAATATCCTGAAAGCAAATACTGGTATGAGATTTTGTCATATCTAAAATGTTAGAATTGGGGAGAGAGATTTAGGAATAAATAAGTTTACCAATACCAATGAGTTTATAAAGGTGAATAGAAGATCAAGATCAAAAGAATTTTTGTGAATGCCCAGAGTTTGATTAACAGAAGAGATAGAAATAGTTGATAACATAGGAAGGTAAGTTTCTTGCTGTGGAATGAAGACATGAGTTTTAAGAACAGGTGGTAGAAAAAATGAGGAAAGATCATTGAAGTTAACAATACAGGTGTTCATGTTTTTTCAAAGAGCAATTTCTATAGAGGTGTGAGGACAAAAGCCAAATTTCATGAAGTTCAGAGAAATGAGTATATGGAAACTAGAGCATGAAATGAACAGGAAGATCTGTGATACTAAAAAAGAATAGAATGAAAAAGCTTTGTTTGCTTGAGATGGAAAGACCTGAATGTATCTAAAAGTAGAAAGTAAGGACTCAAGGAAGAAAGGATGTGGATACTACAGGAATGAATACTGGTGCTGCCATAGTCCTAGAGAAGATACGAATGGTTATTCTGAATAGATAACTGAATAAATGACTTGAATATCCTGTTCAGGATAGGAATAGAAGCATTAGCTTTAGAATGGGGAACAAAACATTTCTTTGAAGTTACAGTGAAGAATGAGAGGTAAGGACAGAATAAAAATGAGGAAACATAGGGTTGCTTGTGTCAGAAGATCCGTTTTCTCCATTAAGGAAAGGTAAGATAATTTCCCAAAGGCACTCTACCTTTATGGACTAAATAAAATGTAACTGAGGACTTCTGTTGGTGAAAATAATGATTTTAAGCTTACACAACATTTATAATCTTATTTCATATGATATGCATTGTAATAAATCAGAAATGTAATTTTTCTCTTATTTTAGCAAAAAACCAGTTAGAATTCTGTTGTCACATGCTTCGAGGAACAATAGACCCTAAGGAGCCATCTACCTATGAATATGTGAAATTTATAGGAAATTTCAAGTCTTTAAACAGTGGTAAGTTAAAATGCTTCTCTTACAATGTATTTTAAGTTGGTGTTCTAAGTTCTTAAAAACAGTGATGCTTAAACATCAGTAAAAACTGGATTTTACTGGAGTAACTAATGATGTATATTTCCTAATTGTTCTAGTATCCACTTCACACAATGGCTTTGAAGGAACTATACAACGCTCCCACAGGTCTTCTTATGATGATAGAGTGTGTTTTGTAGCTACTGTCAGATTAGCTACACCTCAGTTCATCAAGGTATATTTCTAATTTTAGTTTCCAAAGGGGATTTCATTTCATATTATGAGAACTATCTTTATGTGATTTTTTTGTTTCTAAAAACTGACTAAAACTTCATGTAAACATTGTAGTAGTAGTGACCATGAGTCATTAAATGTATGTTATAATTTTAAAGCAAATAATGAGTTATCAAGGCACTCATCAAACTGTTAACTAATGTTTTAGTATACATCCTTTGCAGTTAACCAGAGATTATGCAGAGTACGTTTGCAGCTCAGGCAGTTAGAATTCTGTTTGTTTGCTTGGCTGTAACATAGAGCAAAAGCTGGCCCGCAGAGAACTGATTGGAAATGTCAGACCTGCCACGAAGCAACATGAAGGAAAGAATTCAAAGGCTTAAGAATGTCAGAGTGGCTTTATCATGTGGGACCTACTCACCCACACAAGATGGGGCCAGATAATATAACTTTCACCAATATTGTGAGAAACACATTTTTGAAAGTTGTCCAGTCATCCTTGAAGAGGTCCATGATCACTCTTCTCTAAAGACCAGACCTTTATCCTGCTTTTCTGAAAAATTTTAGGGTGCTTTTTTGTGTAATTCACAATCTTCATTAAAGGGAAAAGGCCAAAAATCTAGCCAGTTTTAAAATTCAGCTTTTGAAATTTTCTGTAGAAATATACAAGTGGCTTTTTACTGCATATAATTTACCTTTTCCATTTTAAAATTCAATTAAATAATTTATCTTTATTACCTGGGTCCAATAAGCAGATGATTAGTAGAGAAGTGGGAAAATGAAAGCGTTCAACCACTAGGAAGTGACTGGAAATAAACAGGCTGAAATTTTAGATTTAAGGAGACGATGCATTATAGGACAGAGTATGTATTTAATTAGCAGTTAGAGGCTATCAGACCATTCTTACTCTGCTTGTTTTGGTCTTAGGAAATAATAGCAGTGGCTAACATTTATTGAGTGCTCACTACATGCTGTATACTTTACATGCCTTATCTCATTTAATTCTTAACAATTCTATAAGGTAGTTGCTAGTATGATCCCTATTTGATATATAAGGAAACTGAGGCTTTAGGAAGTTAGTTACTTGCTCAAAGTTGCAGCTCCTAAGTGGTAGAACTGGGATTGATTCTAATGTTTTTTCTTTCAAATCCCAAGCTCTTAATCACTACATTATACTACAGAAGGTCACTGAGGGACACAGAGGCAGGTTGGAATACATTGAGTATGACTAGCGTCTAGGGTTCTCTGTGTAGAAGGCATATGGTTATAGTGGGAGATGAGTTTAGAAAAGAAAGTTAAGCAGAGGTCAGAAATGAAATGTATTTCTTTCTTGTTTGTTTCTCCATGCTGAGGAGTTTAAACTTTACCCTAACAGAATGAGGAACCATTAAGGTTTTTAAGCAGGGAAGTTACATAATAAGGTAATTGTGGCCAGAATAAAAGATGAGTTGAAGGACAGGGAAAACCAATGGCAGCAATGTGAGTCAATGATAGCAAGGATCTAGAGTCTAAACTTAGACCCTGAAGATGGGTGGGATCATACAGATTTTTTTAGAACTTAAAAGGTGAAAGTGTTTAGTAGCCATTTAGATGGTGAAGGGTGAAAATGAAAGTGTGTGTTATGATTTATCAGATTTCTAGTCTGATGGCACAACACGAGTATGCCTCCATTAATGAGATAGAAAATTGTGTAACTGCGTATGAGGAGTAAGGCATTTTATTTCAGGACATACTGAGTTTGTGATGTGTGGGGACATCCAAACAATTAGAAATGTGGAACTGTAATTCAGAAGAGAGGTCTGAATTCAGAATTAGGGCTTATAGGACTATCAGTGAATAGAGAAATGTATTGAATGAGAGGTACTCCCCAGAAGCCTGCATCTATGTATTGCCGCATTCCTTAGTACTAGAAAATTAAAATGTGTTAAAAAAATTTTAGGGAAAACTTAAGCTAATAATGGCTTTTATGGCTAGTAATGTTTAGGATTTTTCTAAGGACATAGAAAAGCAATTCTAAATTTTAATTATTTATTTGTAGGAAATGTGCACGGTTGAAGAACCTAATGAAGAGTTTACATCTAGACATAGTTTAGAATGGAAGTTCCTATTTCTAGATCACAGGTAACTCCATTTTTAAACTCCAATAAAAAGGTAATAATCATAAAATTCTTGAAATGAATGGTTTTCAAGGACAAACACTTTTAATCAGGATGTTCAAATCTGTTACCCACTTTTCAAAAAATAAAGGTTCCTCCCAAAATTGGTTTATAGTTGGGTTATTTCTTATTATGGAAAAAGTTACAATGTTTTTTTATATATAATTTAGGGCACCACCTATAATAGGATATTTGCCATTTGAAGTTCTGGGAACATCAGGCTATGATTACTATCATGTGGATGACCTAGAAAATTTGGCAAAATGTCATGAGCACTGTAAGTAGATTTTAATATTTCTGGTAATAATACTGTTTTTAATCATATAAATAACTAGATTCTTTTGCTTTTGAAAAGTACTGGAAGATTTTCCTTTATAACCAATCCAGTAGTAATGTTAGATCAAATTTAAATTAAACTTATTCCTATTTTACATATTTCCATCAATAATAAGTACAGGTTTATGGCATCTAATAAACCTTGTTCAGGAGTGTTTTAGCTATATATTGGGAGTAAGAGAAGTAGATGCCTTTGAAAATTGTAATAGTATGTCAAAATATTGAAATAGTATTTCATAAATTTTGATTTCCAGGCATGTAAGTACCCAGGAGATAGGCACACATTTTAGAAAGAATCTCTTTTACAACGCTCACAGTGAGTGTGTGGTTAATGTTCCCTGCTGTTACTGTTTTAGCAGCAGGAACAGTTATGTCACTCATCACCACAGTTACCTCTGTCACTCACCACCACAGTTCTAGAAAGTAGACACTGTTATTATGTCCCCTAGTAAACAAAGACATGTAAAGTGAAGTCGTTTACTCACAATTCCATAACTCATTGGTGGCAGAGACAAAATCAGAGTCTATACCTACCCCTTTACCACATGCTGTTTATTCTTTGTTTCAGAAATTTGATTTAATAATAGGTTTTATTTACTTCTCTGCTCTTCCTCCCCAAATCCTACCCTCTTGGATGTCCACTAGAGCTTATTTAGATATAAGGTACTTTCATGTTGTTTTAGGCTGATCTAATAAACCTCTCTATATGAAAATAAAGCATGTTATATAATAGCATCAACTTCATGGGAGATTTCAAAGTAGTCATTTCAGCATAAAAAAGTTATTCACTCTAAATTATATAAACACCAAGCCCCATGATGTATCAAAAATATCTGACACTTCTATTAACTAGCTGGGTAATTTTGGATGAGCAATTTAAAGTTTGTAGACTTTGGTTTCCTCCCTAAAGTATGGGGGGGGGGGAGGAGAGGGAGATGGAGGGAGGGAGATAGACTAGATAGATAAGATAGAGATTCTTGAACCGTATTTGCTAAGGTTTGTTGCATAGACTATTGGTCCATTAAGAACAGATTTTATGGTCAAGGAAGAATGGGAAACACTTTGAAATAAATCTCCATACCTCACCCCAAGAATCTTGACATACATGAGCATACTTAGAATTTTGAAAATACTAAATAAACCTGCTTAACAAAGTTTTAAAAATTTATTTACCGCAAGACCATTTTTTTGCTTAATATCTATTAAAAAGACTTCAGAATTTATGATCTACAGAGAATGTTTTGGGAAATGCTGTACTTATCAATTACTTCAAAAAATTAAGTTATTCTGATGTTCGTTATAGTTTAGAATTAAATACTTCAGAGATGCCGTACCTGCCAGGATACCTGTGGGGAAAAAACTCGGGTGTGATTGCTTATTTCTGTTACCCTCAGTATATCTTGGCAGGAGAAAGTGAATATGTGAATAATTTATTCCTAAGTATTTTGAAATTTCTTGTGTATGAAAAGTTATTAAGATCAGCAGTAACTGGCTATTAGTTGGCACTGTGAAAGATATCTTATTTCATTACTTGGAACCTTAAGCTATCGCTACAGAATAGCATTTACTTATAATAAATTACTGAAAAGCAAGAAGAATTGTATATGTACATATATTTATATGTAAATGATAAATCAATATCATGGGGCTAAAACCCCCAGATTCATAGGTAATAATATGAATAAAAAATATTTTCCTCTTTTCTTCTTAGTAATGCAATATGGGAAAGGTAAATCATGTTATTATAGGTTCCTGACCAAAGGACAACAGTGGATTTGGCTTCAGACTCATTATTATATCACTTATCATCAGTGGAATTCAAGGCCAGAGTTTATTGTTTGTACTCACACTGTAGTAAGGTAATAATTCTTAATAATTCTTTACACAATTTCTGAATTACAGAAACATTGATTATGATATTGGCAATGTAATTTTTATGCATGACTTGTTAATGAACTAAGTGATTTTTTCACCATTTTTGATACAGTTTCAATATATTATTAAATTTACTTAAAGGCATATATAGAAATAGAATATATGTAGATATATATAATTCTTGACATAATTTTATCATTTAGAGTAGAAGTTGCAAAGGTCTTTTATGTTCCAAAGTCAGTCATGGAAGGGGAACAAGTGGAATAGATAAGCATATTTTTCTTTTATTTAAGTACTGTGTAATTATGGACCATTTACAGTAGCATATACAACTTTTGAGATAATTAGAAAAATTAAGATAGTATACTATAGGAATGTTTGGTTTTGTGTAGCACATAGCAAATAATCTGGAATTAATGATGAGCAAGTAAGACATAAATAACACTGAGAGGTTGTACCTCTTCGGTATTTTACATGAATGATCAAATACTGAAGTTCTGGGGTTTTTTTCATTTTATAGTTATGCAGAAGTTAGGGCTGAAAGACGACGAGAACTTGGCATTGAAGAGTCTCTTCCTGAGATAGCTGCTGACAAAGTATGTATCTTACAGTTTTGTTTTTGTTTTTGTTTTTGTTTTGCTACCATTATTCTAGAATTACATGAACAACATTATAGTTACTAGACTCCCCCTATTATCAAGTCCCCGCCACATGCCCCATTATAGTCACTGTGCATCAATGTAGTAAGATCCTGCAGAATTACTACTTGTTATCTCTGTGTTATACTGCCTTCCCCGTGTCCCCACCCGCCTATGTTACACGTGCTAATCGGGATGTCCCTTTTTCCCCCTTGTCCCTTCCTTCCCACCCATCCTCCCCAGTCCCTTTCCCTTTCGTAACTGTTAGTCCATTCTTGGGCTTTGTGAGTCTGCTCCTGTTTTGTTCCTTCAGTTTTTCCTTTGTTCTTTTACTCCACAGATAAGTGAAATCATTTGATACTTGTCTTTCTCCGCCTGGCTTATTTCACTGAGCATAATACCCTCTAGCTCCATCCATGTTGTTGCAAATGGTAGAATTTGTTTTCTTATGGCTGAATAGTATTCCATTGTGTATATGTAGCACATCATCTTTATCCATTCATCTACTGATGGACACTTAGATTGTTTCCATTTCTTGACTATTGTAAAGAGTGCTGTGATAAACGTAAGGTTGCATATGTCTTTTTGAAACTGGGCTGCTGCATTCTTAGGGTAAATTCCTAGGAGTGGAATTCCTGGGTCAAATGATATTTCTAGTTTAGTTTTTTCAGAAACTGTCATGCTGCTTTCCACAATGGTTGAACTAATTTATATTCCCATCAGCACTGTAGGAGGGTTCCCCTTTCTCCACATCCTCGCCAACATTTGTTGTTGTTTGTTTTTTGAATATTGGCTATCCTAACAGGTGTGAAGTGATATCTCATTGTGGTTTTAATTTGCATTTCTCTGATGATTCACGATGTGGAGCATCTTTTCATGTTGCCTGTTGGCCATCTGAATTTCTTCTTTGGAGAAGTGTCTGTTCAGCTCCTCTGCCCATCTTTTAATTGGCTTATTTGCTTTTTGTTTGTTGAAGTGCATGAGTTCTTTTTATAATTTGGATGTCAACTGCTTATTTGATATGTCATTTATGAATATATTCTCCCATACTATAGGTTGTCTTTCTGTTCTTCTGAGGGTGTCCTTTGCTGTACAGAGCTTTTTAGTTTGATGTAGTGCCACTTGTTTATTTTTGCTTTTGTTTCCCTTGCCTGGGGATATATGTTCATGAAGAAGTTGCTCATGTTTATGTCCAAGAGATTTTTGCCTATGTTTTTTATTTTTTATTTTTTTATTCATTTTATTATCATTAATTTACAGTTACATGAAGAACATTGTGGTTACTAGACTCCGCCCTTCACCAAGCCCCCCCACAAACCCCATTACAGTTAC